GGGGGGGGGGCAGGGAGCCCTGGGCTGGGCGCCCAGGAACCTGGCTTCTCTGTCACAGCCTGGCTGGGGCCCTCGGGCCCGCACAGCCCCTCACGTGTCCCAGCTCCTTGCCAGCCACACGATCCTTCCAGGTTAGGCAGCCGGTGATCACAACTCCATCCCCAGGGAAAACTAAAATTTGAAACTGCTCATTCTACCCTGAACGTCGCTTACGCCCTAGGAGCAACCAACGTGAGAATGCAGCCGACTTAGACGCAGACCAGGTAGCTTACTGACCAAGCAGAAGGGCTGGTTTGGTGCCATCCCAGCCCATTTATCCTGATGGATTTCTTTGGAGAGATTTCTCTTTTGGCTGCCCCGGCTTCCAGAAACTCAGAGGGTGATCATTCTAAGCTGATGGCAATAACATGGGTCCTAACCTCCTGGAAAATAATTGGGCAAAATACACCAAGAGCCATAAAAAACCCATAGCCTTCCGTTAGTCACTGCTTTTGTGTCTGTGTTGGGGGAATAGGCCTAGATACAGAAATAACCACAGGCTTGGCCGGGGTGGCTCAGCGGTTGAGCACCGACCTAGGATCCAGGAGGTCACGGTTCGATTCCCGGTCAGGGCACAGGCCCAGGTTGGGGGCTCGATCCCCAGTTGGGGGCCTGCAGGAGGCAGCTGATCAATGACTCTCTCATCACTGATGTTTCTCTCTCTCTCTCCCTTCCTCTCTCATTTTGAAATCAATTAAATATATTTTAAAAAAAACAGAAAGAACCACGGATACGGGAATGTTCATTTCAGGACTGTTTGCAATAGGACACAGGCCCACGGCCCAGGTGGACACGAGGAGGCGGGTCAACCACACGGTGGTGTAAGGCTCGGGCCGGAAACGGTGAAGCTGCCGAATGATGGTGGAATCACAGATCTTTTTCCTTCCCTTTATTCTTGATGTCATCAGACTCTATTTATAACTCTAAAAACCCGATTCAGGACACTATGTCATCAAATGTGTGAACGCATTTCCCAGGCTGTCTGAGCGGAATGGTGAAAAAAATGACGTAAAAGCGCCTTTGAGCCAAGAGAGGAAAAACTCGGTGGGCTCCTCCCAGAGAAAATCCAACCACAGCTGCAAAGACGCTGAGGCATCTCAGCCCTGATTTGTCTGGTGTGTCCGCCACGCTATTTACAATGACTAATGGCTCCCCACCCCACCCCCAGCAACATCCCTGCAAATCACGGCTCAAGGGCATTAACACGAGCTTAGAACCCTTGAGAGGAGAGGTACAGGGACGGCCTTCAGGTCACTTTCCAACCCAAGGAGATCACTGTGCCGGGAGGTTTTCTTTAGCCTCATTTTATTATGGGAATCTAAGTAAAAGCACCTCAGCCTCGTGGGAAAATCACGTGGGTGGACCCTGGCCTCTTCCCTGGAGTGCCTCAGTTTCCCCATCTGTAATGCGAAGGCTGAGGCTATAGGACCTGCAAGGACCTTCCACACTCAGGCTTCTGCTCCAGGATTCTCTCTACAGGCCAGCGGTGGCCTTGGCCAGCACCAGTGTCTCCACAGGGAAGGAGGTGTCGTTGTCCAGAGATCCCAGAAAACAGGGACTCGGGGAGCTGATGTGGTCAGAGGTGGGCTATGGATGGGGAGAGCACAGAGGTAGTTTTCAGAGGATGGAAGATTATACAGCTGGCCAAAGGAGGGGACTGACCGTGGCCGAGAGTCCAGGACCCCACACAGAGAGGGATCATTGCAGGTGGGTCCTTTCTGGACGCTCTCAAGTTCTACCTTCTTCCTGGAACCAAAACGTCTGCCCTGGGAGATGATGGTGGTGAACCCTGCCTTTGGCTCCCCTGAAACAGAGGGTCAGAGCTCAAGGACGATTCCGTGACCTGGGCAAGAGCTACGATGTCTCAGTGGGACAAGGGGACACGGCCAGAGGAGACCCGTGTCCTGGTCCCCGGGAGGCACACTGCTTTTCCACCCTCCGGCTCCACGTCTCTGTGCTGCTTCTACCAGGGGTCCTGGGAGAATCTGGAATTGGCAACTGGAGAGCCGCCCTCCTTACAGCAGCAACGCTCCTGGCTGACCAGGCACTTCCACCCCCTCTGACCCTCCCAGTGTCCTTCCCAGGCCTTCTGGGCAGCATCACTATCCCCATGCTGCACGAGAGGAAACTGAGGCTGGAGGGAGATACTAACTCATCCAAAAGGTCCGAGGGTGGCTAGGACCAGGGTTCCTAACACCATGAGCCATAAAGGGGACGGCAGCTCGGGGCTTCCTAACAGACGTGGGGACCTCAGCACCCCTCCAGGAGCTGACAGGCCACGCAGGCCGAAAACCAGTGAGGACAGAGTGTAGCCGAAAAGCACGCTGAAGCCACTGGACCTCGTCGGCGTTAGCAGAACACTCCCCCGAACCCAGCAGAACTTTCTGCTGCTCACACAGAATGCTCACCAAGAGACCACACCCTAGGCCAGAAAACACAGCCTCCAAAGTTTCAAAGAACAGAAACCATACCAAGGGTGTTCTCAGGCCACAACGGGGCTGAACTAGAATCAACAGCAGAGAGCTATCTGGAAAGCCCCCAAATATTTGGAGATTAAACCGCAGGCCTCCAAGTAACACTCGAGTCAAAGAAGCTTCAGGAACAGTGTGAGAGCGAGACGGGCTCGGGGCCCGTCCTGGCTCTGCCTCCTCCTCGGACGATTCATTCACTTCTTGGAGCTGCATCTGTTTCCTCAGCTGGGAAACGGGGATACGGGCCCCACCTCCAGGATGGTGCTGGGGAAAGAACAAGGGGGCGGGCACAGGGCCCGCCTCCCAGAAGGCACCCCGAGGTGGCAGCTCTTCAGGCCATTGTTCTGCTCTGGAGAAAGAACACTGTCCCCCGCCCCCCAGGCGAGCTCAGCCTGCGCCAGAGAAAGGCCTGTGACTGCTGAAGGCTGAGCCCTCCCTCCTCTGTACCCAGTAGGCAGCCACCCGCCTGGGCAGCCTCGCCTGGCAGAACCCTCCGTGTCCATCCATCCCCACCGAGCGGCGACTGTCACTTGGAATACTGGCACCGAAGAGAGGGCCTTTCTAGTCTCGGGGGCCAGATGACTCAACTGCGGGATGACCCGCTGAATGTGTCCTGAGACCATGTGAAAGGGAACTCGAGTCAGATCCCGCCAAACCCTGAGCAGAAACAGCTCCGCACACGGCAGGCCCTCCGTCTCCCCGAGATCTGATTGCACAACTCATTAAAACAAGCTCCGAGGCTCGCAAATGTTGCACAAGGCTCTGACTCAGACGGGGCTTATTCAGATTTGAAACTCTCAGGACTCCAGCCACAATACACCCTCCAAGACCATCACGTGCCCGGGAGACGTGACCGTCTCCTGGGAGGGACCAGCTGCTGCCACAGGATGCTGAGAGGACCGTTTTTACGAAATATGCTTATTTGACAATTTGTCCTGGGAATCTCGCCTCCCAGAGCATCCGTGGACACCCACATTGTGTTGTTTTCTCCCTAAGATGCGGCGAATCTTTCCTCGTGAGGAATCTGCAAAGCAAGGAAACCAAACAGGCATCGTCCGAGGTCTCGGGGCGTCCACAGTGTCTCCTGAGCGTCACACACGCGAGGTGAGGGCCACCCGGCCTCGCTCGCCTCCGACTCCTCATGTCTGGACACTTCTGAGGACACACTAGGTGCTCCATAAGTGCTGCAAATGAACTTAGAAACGGGTCTCGCGTCACTGATCCCAAAGGCTGAGCTCTGCCCCTTCTGGCAGCCACAGACCTGCCCCTTTACTGTCCACTCATCTCTGCCGGTCCTGCCGTCCTGGCTGCTGTCCACTGGACACACCACCCAGCACCACTGGCTCTCCTGCCACCTCAGGGAGCCCTTTTGGAAAAGCGGTTGGAATGCCTACATGGCTCATTAGTTGGTCCTTCCTTCCCTCCCTTTTTTATAATTAATAAAAATAGGCTTTTATTGATTTTAGAGAGAGAGGCAGGGAGAGGGAGAGAGAGAAAAACATCAGTGATGAGAGAGAAACTCATCAACTGGCCCTGCACACCCCCAACTGGGGATAGAGCCCGAAACCCGGCNTATCAGCTGGCCCTGCACACCCCCAACTGGGGATAGAGCCCAAAACCCGGCATCCGCCCTGACTGGGAACAGAACCTGTGACCTCTGGGTGCACAGGATGACATCCAACCAACTGAGCCACACCAGCCGGGCTCCTTCCCTTCTTGTTAACGGCAGGGAAAGTGGGAGAGGGGACATGTAATGGTTCAGGAGGGGTCTCACTCCACGGACCCCAGCCGCCCAGCCTCAGGCCCCTGGGCGGCAGCGAGGGGCACCGGGCTCCCCGGAGCTCCTCTCGGGGGTGGGCATGTCACCGCTCTGCTCCTCCAGGGACTCCCAGCAGCCAGCACGAAGCTCAGCAAAGCACAAGGCCACCAGGCCCATGACGAGCCACATGCATCCAGTGGCAACCTTGGCTTCAACTGTCAGTAATCTTTCAAAAAGAAATTAACTTTTAAAGAAGCCAGCCCAGGCTTTAAAACAGGGAGGTGACCACAATTCTTCAGAGACTGGTTCTCTTACAAGCATCATAGGCCAGGCCAGCTGGAAGGGGCCTGGGAGATCATCTGGTCCACCCCCATCACAGCGGAGGCCCTGAGAGGTCGGGGGCCGGTCACCTGGTCAGGTAACAGCCCAGGAAGGGCCAGGGCCAGAGCCAGCCGCCAGCCTGCCACCCCTCCGCCCCAGCTGGCCTTCCAAGGAACCCTCAGCCCCTGCCAAGCCTGATTTCTTCTTCAAATTAAGCCCGACCAGAGCTATTTATTCACTTAAAATATAAGCTCATGGAAAGTCTGATTTCTCAATCCAAGACACGAACGGCGTCCAGATCACACACTCCAAATGGGCTCAGAGTCCCGCCCCACAGGCCTGAGCCGTCGGGCGTCCGACCACAGTTCGCTCACCGCCCGCTCCACCACTGCTGCGCACCGAAGGTGGTTATTTTCAGTTCTGATGAGGCCTAGTTCCAGCTCCCTGGGTAGGAAGGAGTTACTCAGACAGTTGGCTCTCATTGTTAACTTCCTAATGTTACAAAACTTTCTCACTTTAACTCTTTAGCAAAACCAACACAGAATGGAGAAGATCACCAGTGGAAGTGAGCAGTGCCTCAGAAACTGTGCAAAGGACACCTAAGCCCGTGGTCCTTCCCCTGGGATGCGTGGCCGGCGTCGGCCTCCAGGGGCCTCCTCTCAGCAGGGCCGGCGGGACCAGGACAAGGAGTCCCTGGGCTTGGAGACACCGCTGCTTGGGGTCGGGTGGACTCCCCTAGACTGTGCACTAGGAGGACCCATGGGCATGGCCTCTGACGCCTGGGAGTCTTGTTTGGGCCTCTTTCCCGGCTTCATGTCCGTTTCTCAGCAGAGTCTGCAAAGCTGCACCTCCAGGCTGGCCTTTCGCAGTGCTGGGCACTCTCCCCACGAGCAATCTGGGGCCTGGGGCTCCGGTCTGGGACCATCTTTATTACAGCCCCTTGTTCTTTCGCTCTCCTTCAGCAAGGGCTGCACTGCTGGCCACCCGGCTGCCCTGTCCTCTGACTCCCGTGCCTGCGGCGTGAGAGCCGTGATGTGTCCCAAGTGTCATCTCAAGGCCACGGCCGCCTAGTGCACTGTGTGCTCCAGCTGTTTGCTGCGGCTTAGCGGGGTTGGCGTGGTCTCCGTGTCGCTGCGGCCAGCACGGCATGGTGAGCAGGAGTGGGCTCTGGACCGAACGCAGGGGGTCAAGTCCTGCTGCCTGGCCTGGCCCCCAGCTGTGACCCTGGCGGGGGTGGGTGGGGGGAGCTCCCCTGCTCCCCCACAAGGTGTCGAGGAGGCTCAGTGGGCTCAGAGAATCCTGGCCCAGAACAGGCGCCACGTGTCAGCCCTTATTATCACGCTATTGTTAACTACGGTTCCTTTCTTTTCTGTAATCTGCTGACCAGTAGGGAGCTTTTGCTTTAAACTCATCGGAACTGCTGATGACACCTTTGTTCTCTAGCATCATCGGACCCAGTCCCACCCAAACCCCGACAGCAGTGGATTTCAGTGGATTTCTGAAACAAACGATCTGCCTTCAACCAACTGCAGAACCATGATTGGAGGTGCTCCCCGGAGTCTTTGTTAAACAGCTTCCAGATAAACGTGCTCTTTTTTGAAGGCGACACATTCCACCATCCAAAGACCCAGCACACCTCCCAAGCTCGCAGCCCAGGGGCCTCCCGTCTGCCGGCATTTCCTGCCTCCCTTGCCCGCGCTCTGCTCCAGACAACCCCTCCTGAGGATGGTGGAAACCCTGGGCCTGCTCGGTCTCGGAGGCTCCTTCCTCACACCCTCGCATGGCCCCCCAACTCCAGGCCTCTACTGCAAGCACCTCCTCCAAAAGGCCTCCCATGTCCCCCCCCCCCAAACTAAAACAGCACCCCTGCCAACCCTCCCAGCCGGAGCAGGCGGCCAATTCACCTCATTCAACAATGACGTCAAGTGACCTGCTCGTGGGCAGGGCTGCAACTGAATGAGGTCTTGGCTGCCGAGCTCCTGTCCTCAGGGGCACCTCCGGGAGGTCCAGGGCTGAGTGTCAGATGGGGGCAGAGGGGGGTGGGAAAAGCACAGCCCTGAATTAAGGGAGGACTGCATGGCTGCCTCTCAAGCACCTCTTGTGTTCCTCATTCATTCATTCATTGGTCGCCCACCCACGTACCGATCAGGTGCTCCTCCAGGCCAGGCAGACACACACACACACACACACACACACACACACACACGAGCGCCAGGCACACTGCAAAGCGCAACACACACTTGCAGAAAGAACGAGGGAAGAATGGGAACCGAGCCGCACCCTCTGTCTCCCCCTTTTCGGGGCCACCGCAGGCCCCTTCCGTGGCTGGCGGCCCCCTGCTCCCCGGGAGTCCGCTGCGGGGCTGAGGGCCGATGGGAGAGGACCCGCTTCCCTCCACAGGCGACTGTCCTGGCTGCCAATTCCAAAGCTGCTAGGGACTCCGCCTCGCTGGCAATAAATTAGGTGTTCGAATGGTGCCAGCGGCTCAGGACCCCAAGCAGTAACAGCTGGCTGGTTGTTGACAAAAAACACGACTTTTCTACGTCATCACCTCGCACCCGCACTTCTGCAGCAGCCCCAGACCCGTGCCTGGTGTGTTCTGCACCCCCGCCCCCGCCGGGCACGCCCTGTGCCAGGCTTTCTGCGAGCGGCTCTGGTTCTAGACTCTGGGCCACCAGCCCGGGTCGCTCCCAGCCGCCCTCCCTAAACGTTCCGTCGCTTCACCGACAAGGCTTTGCTCAGGCTGTTCCCCGGTCCAGCTGGGATGCACTTCCCAGCCTTCTGGAAGCTTCCTCCACCCTGCCTGACCTCTCCTGCTCAGCCCTGGCGCTGAGCCCTGCGCTGGCTCCGGGGAAGGCTGTCTGGGTTCGAGTTCCGGCTGAGTGGCCTCGGGGGAGTAACTGAACCTTAGTTCTTCCCATCTGCAAAATGGGGACGACTGCTGAGGTTCCCTCCGCAAGAGGCTGTGAAGACCCAGTGAAGTCCCACGAGGACGGAGGCAGAGTGGGCACCCAAAGGCGTGCGTTTTCATGCCCACGCCCAGTCTCTGCAGGTTACCCTCTCAGAGAAAGCTCTCCCTCACCCCAACAAGGCTGTTTCTCAGGGTGGGTACAAGGCTCCCTGCCCCTGTGCTGGTGGAACACACACTCCCCAAGTTCTCCCGTCAGTGTGAGCCAAACTGTGCCAGCTCCCCGTCAGTCATATTCCCACAGAGAAAACCCAGACCAGCCCCTCCGCTGGGATCCCCGGCCCCCTCTCCATGCGCTGGCGCGACCGGGAGGCAGAGACCTGCCCAGCCTGCTGTCCCATCCCTACAAGGCTGGACTGGCCGCAGCTGAACTCGAATTGTTTTCCCACACGGTCTCTCTGCCCAGAGAGGAGAAGCTCCCGGAAGGTCCCTGGAGAGAGAGGGTTTCCCCACCCTTGGCCCCATCACCACCCCAGGGCCCGGCTGGTCCATACAGAAAAGGTTTGCGAGTGGGGCGAAGGGGCCCACTCCTTCCATCTCCAAGGCGCCGCACACACATCTCCACCTCCTCAGGCTTCCTGAACCAAGGCCGGCTCAGCTTCCTCAGAAAGAGCCACTTTCATTTTTGCAGCGTTGGCTCCGCGCAGGGGGAGCGGGCCTGCGGCAGGAAGCCCGTGCCCGCCGGGGGGTCGCCTGGGGAACCGGCGGGACGGGCACACCGCCCCTTTCTAACAAAAAGTCAGATGAAGTTGTCGCAGGCAGAATCCCTACTAAAGGGAGTGTGCGGTTAATTTTAAAGGCGGAGGGGGGTGATGCAGAGCCGTGGAAGGGAAGGGACAGAAACGCGTCCTTGGATCCCAGCGCCTCCCTCCCGCCCGCCTGCTGCACACAAGGCGCCTGCCTTTCCCACTCGCGACCGGCTCCCCTCCCTCATGCCCACAGTCCCGCCTGTCCGTCCCGGGGTCCCTGGGTTGCGGGGCTCCCCGCAGGGCGGCCAGCAGCCACCCTGACTGCGGGACAGAGCGCGCCGGGGCACCCGCGGGCGCCAAGCCTGCCCG